GACTTACCCCAAGAGAGGCCTGAGGGCAGGAGAGCAGGCCAGGAGAGTTAGCCAGTGGTGCAGGTCCAGGGAAGCAGAGAGAGGTGAGGGCGGGGCCGGGTCAATTACCAAATCTTTTTTCCTTGTTGCCTTCATTGTGTTTTCTCACTGTGGATTCTTTCCTTTGCTGTGCAAAAACTTTTCAGTTTGATGCAATCTCACTGTCTGCTTTTGCTTTTGTTATCATGTCCAGAAAATTAATGTTACTGTACATGCCAGGGAACTTTCTCTGTTTTCTGCCAGGACTTTACAGCTTCAGGTCACATGCTTAAAGATAAGGGCCTCATTTCTCCCACAACATAATAAAAGATCAAATAACCCAATTAAAAATGGGGAAAGGATTTGAATAGCCATTTTTCTAAAAAAAACGTGAATGGTCAGTATGTATATGAAAAGATGCTTATTACCACTAATCATCAGGTCTGACTATCAAAACCACAGTGTGAGAAAAAATAAAATTATGAAAATTTCAGGCAAATGCTAACCCTCCTCCTTAATAAGAGAAGCTTCTGTTTAGGTGAGTGCTGGCGGTGTATGTTGAGACTTGTGACTGCTCAAGGTGCTGAGGTTAAGTGGCAGCTGGGTGCTCAGTCCTGAACGTTGACACTAATTCCTCTAAAGCTCGGGGAAATTGTGGAAAAGGGGGTGTAAACAATGCGAAGGCTGGAAGATTGGAAGATGATCTGTGAAACATCATCTTCAGAGCATGCTACAGCTCTGCTATAATCACGAACCCACAGCAGCTGTAGTTGCCTCCTTGAGCCTGTGTGAGAGTGGGCTTGTCTATAACCAATCATGGACCGAGGAGAGGCCGGTCGGGACCTAACCCTCCATGTTGAACTACTGGCTACTGACAGATTATAGGGGAGGAACAGCTGTTGACTTCATCGTGTAACCAATGGTGAGCCCACCAAGCTCCAATAGATAGTTCCAAACCTGTGGTTACACAGACAGTCCTAGTTAAAACGAATGGGTCATAGAACAAAACAAAAAGACTCGAATGTGGGAAGGGACCTCTAGCCAGGTCAGTGGGAACAAAAGGGTGGGAGGGTTATAAGAGAGGGCAGGGGTGAAAGTAAACAGAAAGTGCTATGTACATGTGTGGATTTGTCCAAAACCAAATTTAATCAATTCAGAAACACAATGTGACATTACCCCAAATCTGGCACATTGGTTATCATCAAAAATAAAAGGATAAAAAATATTGGCAAAGACATGGAGATAGGAAGCCCCGTGCACTGCTGGCAGGAAGAAGAAATGGTGCATATATGACAAGGCACAGGATGGGGGCTTCTCAAAAAACTGAAGACGCAATTACCAAATGAATGAGTAATCCCACTTCTGAGCATATACATCAAAGAACTGAAGTCAGGGCCTTGAGGGACCTCTTCTTCAGTGTGAACAGCAGCATTATTTACAATAGCCAACATGTGAAAACATGAAAAAGCCATTAGTGGAGGGAAGAATAAAAAGAATGTGTCCTGTACATACAATGGAAAAGCAGTCAGCCTGAAAAAGAAGGAAATCCTGTTATGGGTGACAGGGATGAAGGACATTAAGTTAAATGAAATAAGTCAGTCACAGGACAAATGCTGCATGAGTTCGCTATGAGGGATCTGCAGTCATCAAGCCCGTACAGAGTAGAACCGAAGTTGCCATGGTGGGGAGAGGAGGCAGTGATGAGTTGCTGCTGCTCAACAGATACAAAGTTTTATTATGGAAGAGCGGGTTCTAGAGATCTACTGCAGTGTCGTGGCTATTGTTACCAAACAGTGCATTTTGCACTTACAATATTTTAAAATTATATTTGTATGTGTGCATGTGTGCCAGTGGGCACGCACGCAGAGGCCAGGGGAGGGCACTGGTGTTTTCCTTTGTAGTGCTTTGCGTTACTGTGTTGAGACAGGGTCGCTCATTGAACCCGAAGTTTCCATTTCAGCTAGGTTGGCTAGCCAGCGAGCTCTTGGAACCCACCATGTCTCTGGCCTGCAATGCTTGGGTTATAAGCACTCACTGTGATGCTGAGCTTCATTTAGATTTTTTTTAAATCAAAATAATGTGAGAGGAGATGGGGAAAGGGGTAATAGGGTCAAAATACATTTACAAAATTTAAATAATTAATAAAATATTATTAGAAACCAAAACAAAAACATATACCTTTCTGTGATAGATACCTAAGCCTAGTAAACACAATTATTTCCTAAAATTTGCAAATCATTATAATCCTGATGCTTTCCTCTTAAACAGCTTTTCTACATATTTTATATTTCTTCATATGAATACCAAACAAACACGAAGGGAGTGTCCCTAAGAAAAATTGAACACAAATGGCTTCAGTGTGAACCCCCAAGCTTGGAAGTCTTGTCAGCGCACTGAACCTCTGAAATAAAGTGGATTTGCATTAGCCATGATAGAACCATGAAGACCATCTTGTGTGACATTATGTTCGACAATAATCTTTTAAAGCTCTCACCTCAAAATTTACTTTTTCAAAAGCTTCCAGGGCCTCTAACCTATTGCTGTCTGTTTCTAGACACTCAGTCAAATCACGGCACCACATAATCTGAGAAATAGTCAGGATGACCTGCAATGAAACATCTTCTTTAAGTATGTGAGATTTTGTACCAAAGAAAGATCCAGAAACAAAATACAATGAGCTGTTACTTGAGAAGGGTAGCCAGCCATCACCCATTCAGTCCTTTGTTTCCCCTGATAGTCAGCAATGGCAGCTTTGCACAGACGGTGGAGAGATGCGAACATGGCTTCCTCCACCTTCCCAAGCCATTCTTCCACATTGCCTCGCGCCTTGAGGCCTTTCCCCAGGCCGACCTAGGAGGCAATTAGGGTGATGAGAGAATAGCTCAGGTAGTCCACCTGCTGTATTTCTGTAACAGAACTCTGAGTTGTGTAAACACTGGCGCTAGACCACAAACGCTGGGAATTTTGATTGACATCTTCGCTGCCCCTTGAAAGAGGATCCCTATGTGCACATTCATATGTACATGTGTGTTTGTGTATGTATATGTGGCTGTCTGTGTGGATGCGGGTGAATGTGTGTATATGTGTGTGTTCTTCACAATCCACTGGGGCATTCATGTTCTTGGTGTCCTCATTTAGCAGGTGCTGGACAGCTCTGGCTTGGATCTAGGTGGCCTGGCAGAGAATTGGCACTCTTGCCCAGTCTCTTATGTAGAGTGGGTAAAAACACGGTGGCTCTCCTCCAGTCTGTTTCCAAGAACAGAGTACACCACATTTATTGAGGTGATTTTAGTTGCTTGACAATTTCTCCATTAGATTTTGAGTTCTTTGAGGGAGGGTTCTAGCCTGGTTATCCGTGAAACTGCTGGGCTGGTTGAGTACCTGGCAAGCTTAGGATGTGAATGAACAATGCTTTATCCCAATTCTAGACAAGTAATTGAGTTTATCTCTGAGGATAAACTTACTCGCTCTCCCTCAGGTGACAGCATTGCCAAAATATCATTAGTGAAAACCTTTTCTGCCTCTGCGTCGATACCAGGAATCTTCCCCTCGGCCGGAGGCATGACAGCGAACTCGAGCTTTGTAATGGAGTCAAAGCATTTCCTCAGGTGAGGCTGCACGGCCTGTGGGTTTCGGGTCTGGGCCAAAATCTCCAGGAGCTCATCATTTGATAAGAAGTAAAATCTGTATGAAAGAGAACCCTTAAAATGCAGCTTGAAATAGAAGCACAGACTCAGATAGACATAAAAGATGAAATTCTTTAGCTGAATCCCCTCCAGTGCACTCATTTCCTGGGCCTCTAATTACACGTGGACTGGATTTCTGGGGGAGGCTACATGTCTCTAAACAAGTTTATGTGAAATGTAGTGAGGATGCATCTCAAATACCTAGACCTAGTAGCTAGAACAAAAAAAATTATAAAATTATTAATAATACCAGCTCTTGCTATAATACTGACTTGTTTTCATCAGTCTTACTTAGCTGTGAGCTCCTCTGGTGAAGACATATTGCTTTCCCTAGACTCCTGACTTACACATACCTAGTGTTCAATACATTATTTGTTGAAGAGAAAACAGATGCATGAATGGCTGCAAGAACCTTACTTGGTTCTGTAACATTGTCCGAATTCAGAGGTCGTTGTAAAAAATGACAGGATACGATTTTGCCAACATACCATTTCCAATGATATGAAGGTTATGCTTATGTAGAAAAAGAAAACATTCTGTATGCATTTCAATATCATTTCAAACAAGATGGGTAAAGAAAGGTATAACATCACAGAATATGATTCTGCCATAAATTGAGGTTGCAAGTTACAGCCCACAGGGCCAATCTGGCCTGGCACCTGCTTTTGTCAGTACAGACTGACTGTCACATAGGCATGTAGAGGTCTTGTCTATGGGTTCTTTTCTGTTACAGTAGTGGAACCGAGTAGCTGCAGTTGTGTCACCTACAGAGCCTTAACTATGTCCTACTCAATATTTATTGTGTGGACTTTTAAATAAACGGCCATCTTCCTGCGTTAGATAACTAAAAATATTCTTGTAAATATTAGTCTTTGGCAATACAGTTTCAGGATTATGTTTTTCTTTTTCTAGTTCTGGGCTTGAACCCAGGGTCTCAAGCATGCTAGACAAGCACTCTGATACTGAACTATAGCCATAGCCATTTAAAAGCTTACTTTTCAGTTTTTAAAAAAATTAATTTTCAGTTTTAAATATTTGTTAAGTTACTTAGGCTGGCCTTGAACTTCTGTAATTCAGGAGGCCTGAACTCATGATCCTCCTAGTTCCCAAGTAGTTGGGATTATAGGTCTGTGACACTCAGTGTGCTTCAGTCTTGTTTTTAATAACTCCAGTGGAATTTGATTGATTATCTTAGTTGATTCCACAATAGGTCAGAGCAGTTAACTGCTCAGGTTGAAGACAGGGCTTCCCTTTACCTTCTGTCCCTCTCACTGCTCTCCACTTCCCTAACTCATGTTTGAAGGACCAAGTGTTCAAAGGAAGTGCCTGGACTGGTGGTTGTCCACTCAACAATAGCCTTTCAATAGGGAGGAGCTGGAGTGATCCCTCTCAGAATCTCTCTTAACAAGGTTTCAGATTAGGTTCTTCCTGTGAGCTGCTTGTCTCTGAGAGGGAGATGGTGCAAGGAAAGCAGCACTTTTATCCTTATCCCCATCTGGTAAAGTGGGATTTTTGTCCTTGGTTGTCAAGTGTCCTCCTGACAATCATCCTTTTTATTTTTATTCTATTTAAAAATTATGTGTATGTGTGTGTCCACGTGTGGGTATGTGCATGTGAGCACAGGTGTCCACAAAAGCCAGAAGAGGGCGTCAGGTCCTCTGAAACTGAAGTTTAAGACAGCTGTGAGCCACCTGATGTGGGTGCTGGGAACCGAACTGCTCTGCAGGAACAGCCAGAGCTCTTAAGTGCTGAGCTATCTCTCTAGCCCCCAATCCATACTTTTTGTTGCAGACAGATGAGATTTTAGAGACTGCTCCACCGAGACCTTGACCCGTCCTTCCGAAGTGCTTCAAAGTGGTTGTAGTTCTTCCTTCCTTCTAACACTTATGAAAACCACGAATTCCTGCATGAAACTTTTGTTGTACACACCTATGGTGACGTCTATGTTCCTAGCTAAATCTTGCCCAAGTACAGCAACCATGCACTAAAAACTAATTATTTCAGTTTTGGTTTTCTCTGAAGCTCAAAGACGAGATTTGTAAACTGTGTCAACATTGCAAAAGGAGTTGTCAGGCCGCTTCGGACCATTCACAACAAGAGGGGCAAAAATGCTAGGGTTCTCACTCACTGGAAGAAACAGAAGGGCTAAAACTGGAAAGGCTACAGAGCTAGAGATGGGGACATCCGGGGAGAGCCATGTGCTAAGGGGTCCCTCTACTCCCCTGTAACCCCATGCAGACGGCCAGCATGTCTCATCTCAACCTATGCATCCTGGAGGGCTTAGTATTTGCTCAACAACCAACCTAGGGAAAACTGTCCAGGCAACACAGAGATTTCTTGTTTCCTTCTCCAGTTCTCTGATGTTCTGAAGTTCCAATCTTAATCTTAAGCTGTCTATAGTTTACAACAAAACATTTTATGTAGCTTTTTAAACTTACCTTGGAAAGATAACTCTTTTTGATTCTAAATATGCCTCTAGACACTTCTGAATTTGGTCAAGCAATGCATTATTGTTTTGAAAAGTCTCCAGAAGTCCTGTTCATTGAGAAAAAAATAGTGTTGACCAAGTTATATTAAAATAGAAAGTATAATTTTAAATGAAAGTAAATATATTAACATTCGGCAGCCTTTGTTTCATTTGATAGAAGAATAAACCAACAAAATGGGGTATCGGCTAAGAATTTTAGCGTCTTTATTTCATTTTTCTTCTTTTGTGTATGTAATGTGTACATGTAACTATATCAGTTCTGGTGGTTTGAATGAGAATGTCCCCCATAGGCTCCAAGTGTTTGAAGACTTTGTTCCCAATTGGTGGTGCTGTTTTGGGGGTCTTAAAAGGTGTGGCCGTGCTGGAGGAAGCACATCACTGGGGTGGGCTTACAGAGTTCTTAAACCTTCCCAGATCTCCAGTTAGGTGCTGCTTCCTGTGCCTGCTTGAGGGTGTGAGCTTAGCTTCTGCTCCTGCTCCAGCCACCTCTGCCACCATGCCTCCCCAGCATGATGGATGCTTTCCCCCTTGGAACCATAAGCTAAATAAACTCTTTTCTTAAAAAAAAAATTTATTTTTATTTTATGTGTATGCATGTATTGCCTGCATGTAGGTAAGTGCACCCATGTCGTGCAATGCCTGCAGAGGACAGAAGAGGCTGTCAGATCCCCTGGAACTGGAGTTACAGTTGTTAACTGCCATGTGGGTGCTGGGATTCGAACCTGGGTCTTTTACAAGAACAGTCAGTGTTCTTAACTGTTAAGCTACCTCTCCAGCCCCAAAGCCTTTCTTTTATATGTTCCCTTGGTCATGGTGTTTCTATCACAGCAACAGAAAAGTAACTAATACACCAGTGTTTGCATGTGTGTGGGAGCATGTGTGTGCAGGGAGTTCACATGCACGTGTGTGCATTCATGTGGAGGTCTGAGGTTGACATTAGGAATCGAGGGAGATTCCTCTTCCACCATATTCTTTTGAGGCAGGGTCTCTCAGTTAAACCCACAACTCCTCTATTATTCTCCCAAGCCATGTTGCTCTAGGTATTCACTGTTTCTCCTTCCAAGACTTGAATTACAGGTAAGCTCCCACTCCCACTTGACATTTATGTGAGTTCTGGGCATCCGAACTCCAGTTCTCTTGCTTGTGCAGCAAGTGCTTTAACTGCTGAGCTATCTCCCTAGCCCAAGACTTCTAATTCTTAGTTAATCATAATATTTTAATACCATGTTTGAGTAGTATTTTTAATTTGAAAGATTTTTAACTGGTGTTCTGTTTTTTGCGGGGGGGCTATGAGTGCACAAACAAAATTCAAACAAAGCAAGTTTCTAGAAGCTTCCTATTCTCTGTCACCTTTTCTGTATCGAATGCCATTTTTGATTTTTTTTTTTTTTTTTGAGACAAGGTCTCCCTTTGTAGTCCCAGCTAGTCTGGAACTTGCTGTGCAGATTAGGCTGGCCTTAATCTCACAAAGATTCTTCTGCTTCTGTCTCTCAAGTGCTGGGATTAATGGCGTGTGCCACTTTGCCTGGCTCCACTGCCATTTTTAAATGCAAAAACTATGTCCAAGGGCACTATTTGCTTGCTGTTCAACAGCACTACCATAGGCAGCCACCTCTATACCATATCCATTTTTGTAGTTTTGATGCTCATCACAGTGGCTGCTTTCCTACCTGCACAAGCATCAAATTCAAAGTTCTTACTGTGGCCCTATGTAATCAGTGACTCTCTCCAATGGCCAGTCACCCACCTAAGCCCACTTGCTCCTCTGTCCTCATCTCCTACATAAGCTTTCCTCGCTGTGCATTCTCCTGCAGCCCACAAGAACTCTGAGCTGATAGTTGAACGCGCTAATCCCAAGAGCCTTGCTTTTTCCTCTCTGCCTTCAAAAATTCTCCTTCAGATCCACACATTTTCACTCTCTCTTTCCTGCAAGTTTCTGTTTGAAAAGCACTTTATCAAAAAGTTTAATCTCTCTTCTCTCTCTCTCTCTCTCTCTCTCTCTCTTTCTCCAGCTACTCTCTAGCCTTTTATACTGCTTTATTTTTCTTCATAGCTTTATCATCACCTGAAGTGATTTATTACTGGGCTATACTTCTTTATCTGAAGTCGTTAAGGCCAGATATATTTAGGAATCAGATTCTTTTTCTAATTTCTAAAGGCCAATTTTCCATTCATCAGTTGATGAATGCCCTATACCCCGTGGGTTATGGAAGGAGGGGGAGGAAAAGGAGGAGGAGAAGACAAAACATTTTAAAAAGTCTATTTTATAATAAGTCTAGTGGGGCTGGGACATCACTCTGTTATCAGATGTCACTATATTTTTGCACTAAGGGTTTGAATATGACAGTGAAGTGGGTGTGGCAGGCAGAGTTAATGGTTAACAGTTCCCATCCTCAGGGATGTCCACATCCTCATTCCCCCATGTCTGTGGTTTATATGGAAATGGGAACTGTTTACAGATTTGATTAAGTTAAGGATCACAGGATAGGGAAGTTATCCTGGGTCATCTGGTGGGTCCAATATCGTTACAAGAGGGAGAATAAGAGAAATACATGACAAGAGAGGCTGAGGCTGGAAGGATGTGGTTGCTGCCTGGAGGAGAGCTATGAGCCTACAAAGGTCGGCAGTGTCTACAAGCCCTAAGACCTTTTCAAATGTTCAGTTTTATCATTCCACAGTTTTTCTTTTCTGCGTGTGTGTTAGGTAAGAATTTTTGGGGCAGGGGTTAGAGAGATGGATCAGCAGTTAAGAGTACTGGGTGCTCTTGCAGAGGACCCAGGTTTGAATCCAATGCCCTCTTCTGACCTTCACAAGAACTGCATGACACAGGTGTACTTACATGCATGTAGACAATACCTTTATATACATAAATTAATAAATAAAATATTAAAAAAATAAAAAATTGGTGTGCAAAGAGCATTGCCTCAAAAGCTGCCTCGCTTGGCAGGGAAGCTGTCTGGGACTGTCCCTCAGCATGGGCCATATGCTGCTTTGTGGCAAGCAGACTGGCTGAAGCTTTGGTATAGAGCATCAAACTCAGTAGCTGTCTGTGTGCTCCCAGAGAGTTGTTTCTACATCCATAGAAATAGAACTTGCTAAAACCCTTTGACCTTGATGCTGGGCATAGGGGTGGGGTGGGGGCAGAAGAGGCATCTTCTTCAGTGTGATAGCCACTGGTAAGGTGCCCATCCTCCTGGAGACAACCCCTCACTGTGCTCCTGTAAGTAACCCTAACTAAACTCATTGGTTCACACACACACAAAAAGTAATAGAAGTAGAGGGGAGACTAGTTGGTAGTTGAGAAAAGAAAGGATCAGTAGGAGTGGGAAACAGAAGGTAACAGCAGTGTTGATGAATATGATCAAAATATGTGATATCATATAGAAAATGTCATAATACAATCCATTATTCTGTCTAATGCTAGCACTGACATGCTAGCAAAAACCTTAAAAAATTTAGCCTTGATACTTGAATTACAATAAATGATAGTATTTTTTTAACTCATTCTAATAATAAGTTTAAAAATATGGAAACTTTTGTGGTTCTTTCCATGGGTGAGCTTAGCACAGGTGAGCACTCATGTCCTGCCGTGTCTGTGGAGGTCAAAACAAAAGAGGGCGTCGAACTCCCCTGGGACTGGAGTTATGGATGGTTGTTAGCTGCTCTGTGGGTGCTGGGAATCAAACCGTGCAAGAGCAGCCAGTGTTGTTAACAGCTGAGTCATCTCTCCAGCCTGACGCACACAAATTGTCAAAACAGCAGTAAGAAACAGATACTTGTGTTCCAAAACCATGACCCAAGACCGTAAGTTGATAATAAGAAAGGACAGCGCTTAATTCCATCAACTCTTACATATGCCACGTGTTGTAAGGTTCATATAGGTAACAAGCCTGTCAGATGACTACAAAAGCTTTTATTCTACTTTTTCTGTTTGTACCTGGTTGAGTTGCGGCTCGGAGTGCATTGGGCAGAAGGTTCACCTTCCTCATGATTTCCTTCCATGACTTGTCCACTTGGAGGAACATCTTGGCCTCTGCAGGCAGCTGCCTCTGAATATCTGGTGCGTTGAAGATGCTTTCTAGGTAGAGCCAGTTTCTCTGACAGTTCAGCCACTCTTCCTGGGAGGAAAACAGGGAGGCTATCAAAATGTAACTTCCAAATTGTTGATCATGTGGGGCTGCTTGGCTCCCCACAGGTCCTCTGAATGAAATTTCCTTAAAGAGCCCAAGACTCATTCCAGCCCGATTTCACTCACCTTCTACTTAAGAGAATTACATTGAGTCATCTGTGCAGAAACCCAAGAAACATGATTAAAATGAGCAGAGGAAACGTTCTACAGGGAGGCAGGATGCTTACCAACAGAAACCTGAAGGGTTGGGGAGGCAGCAAGTTTATGACTCCAAATATATGCAAAGTGTGCTGGTTAGTTTTAACTGTTAACTTGACACAACCTAGAATTACCTGAGAAGACAGTTGCCAGGGGAGCCCATGGCATGAGTTCTGTGTGGTAAGCAGGTATGTACTTTACCTCTTGAAGGGTCCTCTGACCCTTTCAGGTTCTAGGGAGATACATGTTGGCTCAGACATCACAGTATTTGGTGTCATAGTTTTGGGCTGAGATTAGAGTCATTGCTATTTTTTGGAAATGTGTAGTAGTTATTTTTTTTTATTTTTTGTTTCTCTTTTTCATTCTGCTATTATTTATGAGGAACTTAACTGTGTAATAAATTTGAAGGTGGAAAAAATTAATGATAGTCCAAGAACACAGGTAGAAGGAAAGCACTTTCAGTCCTTTGAAATCTTTTTACCGTTATGTATTTCTTCTAGATGTGGGAAGAGAATCTTAATGAGGAATTATCTAGAGCAGGTCAGCCTGTGGGCATGTCTGTGGGGGATTGCCTTGAGTGTTAATCGGTGTAGGAAGACATAGCCCATTCCCCCAGGCAAGGCTTCCTGAACAGTATGAGAGAAGAATGCTAGCAGGACTTGAGCAGACAAGGAAGCATTTGTTTTCTTACTGCTCTTCACTGTGAATGAGAAGAGACTAGCAGCTCAAGGTCCTGCCTTGACTTCCCAGAAATAATAGACCTGGAATTGTACGCCAAAGAAACTCTCTCTTTCCCTAAATTGCTTTTTGTCAAGATATTTTATCACAGTAACAGAAATTATATTAGAACGCAGGGTTATCAGGAAAAAAAGTCTGTTTGCTTGTGTCAGAGACTTTGAAACTGCAGTTATGAGCAGTTGTGAGCCATCTGACATGAGTGCTGGGAGCCAAGCTGTAGTCCTCTGCAAGAGAAGCAAGTTCTTTTCATTGCTAAGCCATCTCTCCAGCCCTACTACACGTTTCTTTTAAGGATCTTCTATAAAAACATGCCCTTTAAAGCTGATGAGAACCCAGTTTAGCTGACATCTTAGTGGCCTTGGGAGGCCCTGAGCAGAGGACCCAGTACAAACCAGTCTCACCTCCTGACCAACAGACATGCTGAGATCCCAGGTGCATTGAACTTAATGAACAGATGGACTGTTAACATGTATATGTTGTTTAATTTTGGGTGTTTTGTTTCATATCAAAATAACCAAACAAGAGTGATGGTAATAACATTAAGCCATATAATAATACAAACCAGAGCCCGATACATGTGCATTTTCTTTTTATTCTGAATATAACAAAATAACAACAATTAAATCTTACATTTCTAAATTATATACTATTAGAAAGATAGGATAAATATTTGTGTATGCGTGTGTGTGTGTGTGTGTGTGTGTGTGTGTGTGTTGGGTATCAAATCCAGCACTTTGTACACACTAGGCAAGCCCTCAACCACTAAGCTGCATTCTTAGCCCCATAGAGTAAGTATTTCTAAGGGTCTTATGGCTTTCCAATCCAGAGTCCATGAACTGAAATTTCCTGTACTCACCAGTGTTTGATTAAATAAGGCAAGCTGTTTTTGCCATTCACCCACTCGAGACTTCAATGGACCCACATAACGTGATGAGGCAATGGTGGCAATGTTGATGGTGCTGTCATCAAGAAGGACCTTCAAAGGGGATGACAAAGACATATGCAGCATTGTGTGTCAGTGTCAGTCATAGACACTTCAGATGTTCAAGTCCAAGAGCCCATTTAAAGGCCAACTTTTTGGATAAATAATGTAGCCCCTCTGATACTCTTTCTCCTCACTGTGCTTACAGTCCTCTGTGATGTTCTCTCAAAGGCCATGGGGGAGGGCATTTAACTAACAACTGTGTTATGTATGTGTGCATACCTGTATGTCCATGGGTGTGCATGCATGTACATGTGGAGGCCAGAAGTCACCCTAAGATGTTGCTCTTCAAGTGCTGTCCACTTTTTTTTAAAAAAAAATTAATTTATTTTTTATGTGTGTGAGTGTTATGCATGCATGTGTGTAAGTGTACTTGCATCATGCAGTGCCTGTGGAGGACAGAAGAGGGCGTCAGATTCCTTGGAACTGGAGTTACAGATGGTTGTTAGCTGCCATATGGGTGCTGGGGTTTGAACTCAGGTCTTATGTAAGAATAGTCAGTGCTCTTAACCACAGAGCCTGTTCTCCAACCCCTCCACTTTGTTTTCTCACTGGAACAGGGGGCTCATTGATCAGGCGGCCAGTGAACTCCAGGGATCAGCTTGTTTCTTCTTTCTCAGCATTGGCACTGCAAGCACATCACTCCTCCTCCCACCAGCTTTTTACAAGGGCTCTGGAGGTTGAACTCAGGTCCTCACACTTGTGAGCTGTCTCCCACAGCCCTGCCTCTGTAACTGTTAATGGCACACATTTTTGCTTTGTTCAGTGCTCTTCTCTTGCCCTATTATAGACAATTGGCATCTCCTTTACACCCTGGCAGGCCTTCGATTCTCAAAATAACCCATACTTTCAAAATTAGTTTCTTATGTTCAACCCATTTTCATTCAACCATTTTAAGATGAAGTTGAACTCATTCTTACTACTGTTTGAATGACAAGGCAGTATTCCAACTGTCTTCCTTCCTCCCGTTCCCTTTGAATGACAGCATCCCTTATAGAACATGTGAATTAAAAAATACATGTGGGTCAGGTGTGGTGGTGCATGGCTTTCATCACAGCACTCAGGAGGCAAAGGCAGATGGGTATCTGTGAATTTGATGTTAGCCTGGTCTACATATCGAGTTCCAGGCCAGCCAAGGCTACAATAGTGAGACACTGTCAAAAAAAAAGTGTGTCGATCTGGAAGATTGACTTGTCTGCTGCAGCCCCATCGAGGCACTGCTTGCTTCCTTCTGGCTTGTATCTACCCTTAGGCTACAGCTTTGCCTTTTAAGTTGGACCATATGATCTGGTTTCCTTTGCCAAACAAATGAACCTTCAGATTTTAAATGACTTAAGAATGTTCCAAACTCTTTGGTTAGATTTATCTTATTTACCTCAGCAATAAAAGTGAATTTAGCTTCTTAGTGTGTTACAGACATGAAATGGTCGTTCTTGTTTCTATGTTTTGTTGAAATGGACTGAAATGCCCTTTACCCCTTCAGTGTCTTTCAACTCCCATCTTTAAGGTCCATTTATCATGGATGATCTAGGAAAGACTTTCCTGTCACTTCGAACATAATTGAGCTCTTTCATAAATTTCTCAACTATAGGACTGTACTGTTACACACACACGTAAACACACACAGAGGTAATTTTATTGCTTTGGTAACTACTTCATTAATAAGCTTCCATGTCAATTTTTTATATTCATATCTTTCTTTCCAAATTATGTAACTTGTAGTTCACTTCCTCACCTTAATCTTTCACAAAAGATGTAAGAGGTGTGGTCAGGACCTTTTCCATAAGCAAGCTAGCTTTCTTTCTCTCTCTCTCTCTCTCTCTCTCTCTCTCTCTCTCTCTCCCTCTCTCCCCCCCCCCCTCCTTCTCTCTTTCCACTCTCTACCC